GGGCGGGGTGAGGGGACCAAAAAAACAACCAACCACTTCCTAACTGACTCACTCAAGGAGTCTATGAAAGAGCCAGGAATTGACCCAGACCTCGATGAGCCAAACACCTTAACCACAAGGCTCAGCTTCCTCCGTCCCCTGTCCTACCTGGCGTGGAGCAGTAAGTCCACTTCTTGTCCACGTTGTAAGTCCTGGTGGTGCTGCACCACAGTTTTCCCGAGCTGTCCCCGTCGCTGATGCAGGTGTAGTGCACTTGTTTGTTATAGATGAAGGGGAACGCACAGCTCTTTCCTGGCGCGTTCCCACCCAGAACTAGGGATGCAAAGGGAGGTGGTTATAGACACCGCCAACACGTTCACCTGCCTATGGACTAATGGCTCCCCCATCCCACTATGACCCAGCCACTCATCACCAACAGCCAAGAAATCTCAGGTAAGTTTTCATGGATTCATAGATTCCATGACCAGATGGGTCCACTGGGATCATCTAGTCTGAAGTCCTGTGGAACACAGGCCAGTGAATGTTCCCCGATTCTCTCTGTGTTGAACCCAATAACTTGGGTTTCACTCAAGTATCTTCTAGAACGGCATCCGGTCTGGATTTGAAGACATCATCATGGCTAAAGCATCTTCCAGGAGGGCCAACAGGAATCTGGCTTCCCAAAACCCACTGACTCTATCGCTTCTGGATCTGATTCTATGGCTGCTCCTTGACCCTGGCCTTGAAACTTTCCTGAAGGAATCCTTAGAGGCTCATTCAGCTGGTGGGAGGGGCGTGTTGAAAGCCAGGATCCCACCCATCAATCAGGTAGACTCCCATTGCCCAACTCCCATTGGCATCCAAGTGTCACAACTTCTTATTGGCTCAGGAGCACAGCAGAGAGGTGATGTGATCATACAGGTGATCCGGAGGCTCCTGGACATAGAGGTGGGTGAAACTTTTCAGATAAAATGTTTTTGGCTAAAAGTACAGAGTCAGTGAAACCAAAATATATTGTGAAAGCATGTCAGTTGTGTGGGATTGTTCATGTTGAAAAAATGACCAAAAACATTCAGAAAAAGTTAATTCTTCAACCTGAAACAACTTCTGCTTTCAAAATTTCCTTCTATTTTATTAAAACTGAAATTTAGATAGTTTAAAAAATGTTCAAAATTTAAATGAAATGTTCTTTTCACCCCAAAGGGATTTCCCCCCCTAAATTTTCAATCAATGAAAATTTTTTAAAAATTAATTTTCGGGATTCCCCCCAAAATAATTTTGTTTCCTGTTTTTTTTAATTCACCAAAAGTTTTAAAGAAAATTTCAATTCCAGGATCCACCCAAAATGGTTCCCCCCCCCCCCCGATCTTTCAAATCACAGAACATTTCCAACATGTTTGTTTCTGGGATTCTCCCAAAACACATTGTCCCCCAATTTTTTTTGATTCATTGAAAACTGGAATATTTCATTTTCTGGATAACCCGAGACTGGGCTGGGACAGGAACCTGGATTTCCAAATCCCACTGAGGTCAGACCCTCCATCATTTCTGGATCTGATTCTATGGCTGCTCCTAGACCCTGGCATCGAACCTTTCCTGAAGGAATCCTTAGAGGCTCCTTCAGCTGCTAGGAGGGGTGTGTTGTAAGCCAGGATCCCACCCACCAATCAGGTAGACTCCCACTGCCCAACTCCCACTGGTACCAAAGTGTCACAACTCCTCATTGGCTCAGGGGCACAGCAGAGAGGTGATGAGATCATACAGGAGATCTGGAGGCGCCTGGGTAACTTGGCAAATAGAGGTTGATGAAACTTTTCAGATTAAATGTTTTTGGCAAAAAGTACAGATTTGGTGAAGCCAAAATGTGTAGTGAGGGATTGTTCATGTTGGAAAAACGACCAAAAATTCAGAAAGAGTCGATTCTTCAATTTGAAACAACATCTGCTTTCAAAATCTCCTATTTTATTAAAACCAAAATTTAGAAAGTTTAAAAAATGCTCAAAATTGAAATGAAATGTTCCATTAAACCCAAAGGGATTTTTTTCCTCAAATTTTCAGTTCAATGAAAATTTTTAAAAATTAATTTTTGGGATCCACCCAAAACAATTTTGTTTCCTGATTTTTTAATTCACAATAAGTATTGAAGAAAATTTCAATTCCAGGATCCACCCAAAATGTTTTTTTCCCCGATCTTTCAAATGATAGAAAATTACAAACAAATTTGTTTCTGGGATCCTCCCAAAACACATTGTCCCCCGATTTTTTTGATTAATTAAAAACTGTGAAATGTTTCATTTTCTGGACAACCCAAGACAAACGTTTTTCTAATTTTTTTAACTCTCTGCAAATTTCAGAAATTTCATTTTAGGAATACACTCAAAACCATTTTTCTGACTTTGCAATGAAATGACAATTTTAAAAAAAATGAACTTTCATGATCTACCTGAAATTATCTCCCCCTCCCAATTTTTTGATTCACTGACAATTTCAAAAAATTCATTTTCATGGCAATCCATGACAAGCTCGTCCCCTAGCCTGATTTTTCAGAATCACCAGAAAACCAGATCTGCCCCAGAGGGAATATACAAAGAGACTGGATACATTACTGATATCTGGACAGTAGCTCCACAGCTTATCCTGGTTGTAGTTCTGGGTTGTGGCACACCAGAAATTTCCCTTCTTGTCTCCAGCATTCGTGCAGCTGTGAAATAGCTCAGTTTTGTAGATGAAAGGAAACGTGCAGCGCTTGCCACTGGAGTTCCCCCCATAGGCTGCAAAGGCAACAAGTTAATCAGAGTGAACGCCAAAGAGAATGACCGTCATGGCCGTTTTGTTAGCAAAAAAGAAAAGCCGGGGTGTCTCATCTCACTGCTGCGGTGAAACGAAGATAATTTTGTACAGTGGGTGAATGGCGTTGCGCCTAGGAGCATGGGATCACCCCGGGGGCCTATCTAGCCTGGCAATGGCCTCCCATCTCTGACAGCCGCATCACAAGGAGGTGCCAGGCAATCTGGCTGCACAGGGGAAGCCATTTGTAGCACACAGCCCCACCAGGAAGCTCATTTGGCCTGCAAGACTGGGTGACAGCACCCCCTGTGCTAGAGCTCCACGTACCGGCACGTCCTCCACAGACCCTTTCCCTCTGTGTCGACACAGAGCGCTCTGGTCACGGCCGGGACTCACCCTTGCTCAAGCAGAAGCGCCAGAGATGGTCTTTGTCATAGTTGGGAGTGGTAGCACACCAGGGCCTTCCCATCTTGTCATCGACTGCCATACAGCTGTGGTAGATCTTGTCCTTATAGATGAAAGGGAAGACGCAAGGGGAGCTGTCCAAATTTCCCCCTGCAGCTGGTGGAGAAAGAGGCAAGGGAGGAAAGGGTTAAGACAGGGCAGAAGGCAGGACGTAGGGCAGGCGATTTGCTGGGAGAACCGGGCACGAATTTTCCCAACAAAACATTTTTTTTAAGTGGAAAAAATGCCAATTCGTGGGAATCGAAACTGTTTGAGCATTTTGATGAATGTTGCTGGTTTTGACGCATTTCACGACTTGAAAAAAATGTAGAGGGGAAAAAAGCGTGGAAATGTTTAGACGTGTTTGAAATGGGAAAAAAATCTGGGTTCTGGGTTGGGAGCGCCTTTTTATTTTGAAATGCAAGCAGAGTCTGAATGAGCTCTCCCCTGACATCTAGTGGTGAGCTGTGGAAGAGGACTTCAGAAGCTGATCTTGTTTGCATGGACACATCCACCCTGCCTAGGTGCTCAGCATGATGTGATTGCTGGCCCAAATGGTCACTTTTGGCTGGTGTGGCATCCCCAGGCTCCTTGTTATTGGGGCAGGAGTAATAAAGGATTGCTATCCTTGTGTGAACCGAGGGCACTGTACCTGGCATACCCTCAACTGAACAGCACTCACTAGGCAGGGGACATGAGTTCCAAAGCCCAATAAACTGAGAGAGGGTGGGGACAAGTGTTTGTGTGGACTGTGCCCAAGGGCCCCAGACACTCTTTGACCCATCCTCTCTCCATGGTATAATAAAAGAGCTAATTTAGACTCAATTGAGAGTTTTGTTACATGCTGCAGAGCTGAAGTCACTGATACCTCGGTCTAGGTATTAGACTTGCTTTGGGACAGTGACTCTGATGCAAGAGACTGACCCATGTGCACCAGAAGTGAGGCTCCCCCACTAACAGCTGAAATCACTGAGAGCTGTGTTAAGTGGTGGGCCCTGAAGACATCTTAGCGAGTGGCCAGCAGGGCAGCTGGTGGAGAGGGCCAGAGCAGAGCCCCGCAGAGAGGGGCGACGAGTGAGTGCCTGAGCAGTGGAGCAAGTAAGGTGACTCCTTACCCACCCTCCTTCCACCCAGGGTAGGAGGTGAACTCTGCAGATGCACCTCTGAACTCTAGGTCTGCACTGGCCAAGGACAGCAACTGTGAGTGGGTGCAGAGAAGAGATGGGCATGTTAAAGGGACTTTTTGTTGCTGGACTTAAGACCTTGAGGGGAAAAGGACACGGCCCAACTTAGTTGGGGGTGGGTCTTTTGCTCATGGTTTATGTTTATGAACCCTGTTTGTGGTGTTTTCCCAAATTAATGTAGAGTTACTTCCCTCCTTTTATTAAAAGTTTCTTTTCTACACTCAGACTCTGTGCTTGCAAGAGGGGAAGTTTTGGCTCTTAGGGGCGCCCAGGGGGTGGTGTGTAATTGTCCCAGGTCACTGGGTGGGGGCTCGAGCTTGTTCTGTGTTGTATTGTTGAAAAGGAACCCCTAGATACTGAACCCGGCCCTTGTTACTGCCAGCTCTGACTGGCAGAAGGGTTACAGGAATTTAAGCTAATTAGAGTAAAAACAAATTAAAAAAAGAAAAAAAGGTTGAAATTGAAACAGAACATTTCAAAACGAAACTTTTTAACTGAGCCGAACTGAAAGAGAGTTTGGCTTTTCAGTTCATGAATATTTTCGAGGTTTCATTTTTTTCCCCCTCCAACCCAGAGGGGAAAAATGTTGAATTCCCAAAAATATTTCTAGGCTAGGGAAAAGATCCAAGGTGTCAATTGGCAGCACTGGGCAAAATTTTGGTGTGGTTCAATTTGGGCACTGAGATGTTCCTTGCTCCTACAGGACCTATACACAAATGAATGCTTCTTGTCCACTCCTTTTGTTTAGCTGTTCAGATACCACAGTAATGGAGACACACATAGAATAGAATAGAGTAGAATAGAGCATTGCCCAGACACACAGTCATTGAGATCGGGCCCCGTCATGCCCGGTGCTGCATAGAAACAGAGCCAAAACCAGGAATGCTAGCAATTAATTGATCTTTGATTATTAGCAGGTAAATATGCCCAATGGTCTGTGATGGGATGTTAGATGGGGTGGGATCTGAGTTACTACAGAGAATTCTTTCCTGGGTGTCTGGCTGGTGAGTCTTGCCCACATGCTCAGGGTTTAGCTGATCGCCATATTTGGGGTCGGGAAGGAATTTTCCTCCAGGGCAGATTGGCAGAGGCCCTGGAGGTTTTTCGCCTTCCTCTGCAGCTTGGGGCACGGGTCACTTGCTGGAGGATTTTCTGCACCTTGAGGTCTTTAAACCACAAATTGAGGACTTCAATAACTCAGACATAGGTTAGGGGTTTGTTACAGCAGCGGGTGGGTGAGATTCTGTGGCCTGCATTGTGCAGGCGGTCGGACTAGATGATCATAATGGTCCCTTCTGACCTTAAAGTCTATGAGTCTATGAGGAATAGAACGCATGTGTCCTGATTCCCCCCCCCACCTCCCAGTCTGTGTACATACCAGCTGCAAAGCAAACCCACCCCTTAAGCCTCTCCTGGCCCCACATACCTGCCGTGCCGCAGTACCTCCATTTTTGGTCTGCTTCATAGTTGCTCGTGGTGGCACACCAGGGCCGCTTGCTGTCATCCATGGTACAAGCCGTGTACCTCTTGCCTTTGTAGCTGAATGGGAACGTACAGGGCTCCTCCGAGTTCCCGCCAAGCACTGCGGGAGATGGGGCGGGGGAGAGAGATGGGATGTGGGAGACCGAAGAGACAGAGAGCATGCTGGGTAACGCGGCTCACACTCAAATCAGAATCACCACAAGTTGAGCCCATTTCCAGGTAAATAAAACCCCTTGTCTCCCCTGAGCCCCACAGCAGCCTGGCCACTGCCCCCAACAACCGTGGGGTAGTGCAGGGAATGGGGGACTGGGTTATGGGGCACTGGCAGAGCTGTGAGGGGGGTGAGCCCAGGGCTGGGCTAGCTGGGGCTGTGGGTCAGGAGTGAAGAGCACCAGCAGGGCTGGGGGTGAGCCCAGGGCTGGGCTAGCAGGGGCTGTGGGTCAGGAGTGAAGGGCACCAGCAGGGCTGGGTGTGTGGGGGGACACTGGGTGGGGTCCCCGGAGGCACCATACTTGTGTCAGAACAGTAGCTCCAGCGCTGATCCGTGTCGTAGTTTGCCGTGGTGGCGCACCAGGGCTGGGCCCCGTGGCGCTGCTCCGTGATGCAGGTGTGGAAGGTGCTGCCCTTGTACACGAAGGGGAAGAAGCAGGGCTGGCCTTCCGAGTTCCCCCCATAGGCTGAGTGGAAACACAGACAGGGATTGTCAGGGGGTGGGACACCCTGGGTTTAGTGCAGACGGGTGCGGACCCCTCACCCCACCCTGGGCAGAGCCTGGGGGGGGGGGTAAGGCCCACCAGAGATGGGGACTCTGCTGCCACCCTGCAAGGGTCTGACCCATAGACAGACAGACAGATGGGCGGGGTTGTATTGGGCTAATCAGACAGACCAACTGGGTGGCTCTGCCCTGCCCAGCTCTGGAGACATCGCTGGGGCAGGTGGTAGGAAGACAGTGGCCGAGCACCTGGACATTGGCCAGACCCGCCAGCTCTGGGCATGTGGAATCACAAACGGGGAACATGACGCTCCTCCATGCTGCCCGGTGCTGTGCCCGGTTCCCATCCCATCCGCTGGCTCTTCCCCATCCCCATCCTGTCTTGGGGCTGCCCCCCATCCCTGAACCGTGCCCCAGCTACCCCCTTTCCCCATCCCATCCCCCGGCTTCCCTCCCATCCCGTCCCCCAGCTGTCCCACCCCTGGCTGCTCACTCTCCTCGGAGCAGACCCTGTAGGCCTTGTCCTGGTCGTAGTTGGCGGTGGTGGCGCACCAGGGCCGGTCACTGTCCTCGGTTGTGCAGGCCGTGTAGACCTTGCCCTTGTAGGTGAAGGGGAAGACACAGGGGGCAGGGTCCGCACCTGGCCATGAACAAGGGGCAGAGATCAGAAAAGGGGGCAACGGCTGCCAGGGGGCCCCTCAAAGCCTAGCAGGGAGAGCCCTGGCAGGGGTCAGGATGCCTGGGTTCTAGCCACAGCTCAGGGAGGAAAGGGGACATTGTGGTTTGAGCAGGGGGGCTGAGAGCCAGAACTCCTGGGTTCTCTCCCTGGCTCTGGGAGGGGAGGGGGTCTGGTGGGGGGGGCCTGGGGGCCAGGACTCCTGCTGTCCATCTCCGACCTCCTGCCAGGCTGGTATATTTCACACTGCTTTACAAAACACACTGTGCTACTCTAAACAATGACAGCACATCCCTCCACACACACTGCACTACACATGTGTGACAAAGTGGGACTGTTCTTAATGTTTCCTCTGAATACTGTGTGGGTGCCTCGGTTTCCCCTATGCATTTCTTAAGTCTCTAGGTGGTGGGGAAAGGCCA